TTTTTTTTTTTTTTTGGTTAGAAATTGTTGTTAGTTTCAGTCTCTAAACAATTAGCCGTAAAATTTGTGTTCAATTTGCAAATTTAATTTTCAATCAGGGCCCATTTACTTTATATCACTTGCTAATAATAAAAAAATAGATTAAACAAACTAATTTTAATTTCTATCAGCAAAAATCTTCGTAATTTTCAACATTTTTAAAAAAAATGAAGAAAACTTAAATTAACCATAATAGCGTATTTAACTATAATTTACCTGATTAGCAAAACAAAAAAAGAAGAAAAAGGGTGTAATTTACCAAAATGATGTTAATCATACAACATGTGCTCGTCTTAACAAGCTGTTTGTGTCTTTACTGTTCATCTTGGACGCTTATGATATTCACCCTGCATTCCGGGTCCCAACAAAATTCCCAAAGAAAAATAAAATAATTATTATTTCTGCAATTTATTTATTCATATATTTATACAGAGAGAAGATTTATTATTAAAATTTTCTCTGCTTTTGTTGGGTGTAATTCGCCATTATCATCATCGTCTTCCTCGTCATCTAGCTAAGCCCCCTTCCAGCTCAAACCCTAGGCCCCAATTCTTCTCCCTCCTTCCCTTCGCGTTCTGCACTTCATCCCCAAATTGTCGTTAGGGTTTTCGGAATCTGAGATTGTCGGAATCTGGTGAATCGCCCTCGGAGAAATCTCCCCCCAATTCGGTCTTCGCATTTCGAAGAATTAGTTATGGACGGTGATTCCTGGAGCGCTCGTCTCTCTTCCGCATCTAAGCGTTATCAATCGGCTCTTCAATCGCGATCTGGTCAGCTCAATTGGCTTCTTTAATTCCCTTTTTCGTGATGGTTGTTTGTTTGTTTGGTAGCTGAGAAAATAAATAGTTGGTCTTTGATGCGATTCATTTTGTGTAGTATATTACAGCTCGCTTACTCAGGCTAATGCGAGCTTTTGGATTAAACAAGTTCTCTTTCCTTTTTTAATTCGTTTAGCTTTATTCAACTTAATTACTGAAAATCAAGATTCAATCTCTTATATATCTAGCTTTTGATTCCGCAAATTAAAGCTCGATACTGAACTGAAGTTGTTTCCTTTTCGGTGTTCATTTCTTTTTTTTTTTTTTTGGAATTTTTGTGTTCCATAAGATAGAATCTGATATTTTTTGAACGATTTGTTCTGCTATTTCCTTTGGTGTCTTAAGTTTTTTAGATTTAGTTGAGATTTTGAATATGAATATGATTTTGCTAGTTTCCACTTACTGAGATGAATTAACGAATGCAGATATGTTTATGGGGTTTGAAGAAATAGATGGGGATGACGATATAAGGGAGGAGTTTCCATGCCCGTTCTGCTCGGAATATTTTGATATTGTTGGATTGTGCTGCCATATTGATGAAGAGCATCCAGTTGAGGCAAAGAATGGGGTACGACCATTGTTTATGTTCGTTAGTAGTCTGTTGAGCAAATAAACATTCTTTTGGGTTCTGACATAAGGTTATTATAAGGATTCTTTTGTATTATGTATCTTTTCTAGGTCTGTGAGGATGCCTATGAAAAAAAAAAGTTTTGATCTTTTTCATTCGAGTTGTGAAACAACGATAACAAAAGCTTAGCTTGACTTAGTTGAAATGTAGATGCTACTTTTATTGAGCTAGTAACTCGTGCTTTTGTTCTCATATTTTATATATATATATTTTTTTCGTTTCATTTCCTTTTGTTTAGTTTGTGCTAGTTGGAACTTAGTGATACTCAACGTCATGATGTTTACCTGCAGGTATGTCCGGTTTGTGCAATGAGGGTGGGGGTAGATATGGTAGCGCACATAACTCTACAACATGGCAACATTTTCAAGATATCCTTCTGACTTCCTTTCCATTACTGAAAATTTTGTTATATTTTTGTGCCAAATGAAGCTTTTACTACTTATGTACCTTAATTTTCGGTAGAAAATCGACTGCCATTTTCTTGATGACAAGTTTTATGTAATTAGAAAAGTATGCAAAACTGGATTATCGCGTATAGTTTGCAAAATTTGTGAACAAGAAGATTTTTTAATATGAGGCTTTTTGAAGGCAGGAAATATTATTTTATTTCTCATCGTAGCCTCCTCTTTACTTTATATATTTGTAATCTCCACTTTCTCTTATGTCGTATTTAGCATATCTACTAACTAATCTACTAGTAGGAGACTTTGAAAAGTAATCTTACGTAGTTCATCTGTGAAAATTAGTGAACTTTTCTTGAAAGAAGACTTTGCTTTGAAAGTAACAGAAACCTTCTGAAAACCTTTTTCTTGTGCCTTTTAGTCAGTGTACAGATCAACAGCTTTCCATTTGGCCTTCGGTACTAAAGGGTGCTCGTGCAATTAATTGACTTAGTACTGTGAATTCCTTAACCGATACTTACATGCAGCGCAAAAGGAAGTCGCGGAAAGGTGGTTCTCATTCAACAACACTATCTTTGTTAAGGAAAGAACTTAGGGAAGGAAATTTGCAATCCCTTTTTGGGGGTTCATCTTGTATAGTGTCCTCATCCAATGTTGCAGCCGATCCATTGTTATCATCATTTATCTTGCCCATGGCTGATGATTTTGTTGGTGTCCAGCCTCCCTTTTCAACGGAAACAAGCACTACCAAGAAAAGCTCGGCTGAGAATGTATCAGAGCGGTATGTCGTTACCTATTCTTCTATATATATATATATTCCTAGTATGGTTTCCTAATATGTATTTAGTGGACTCGATGTTGATTATGGATCTCATAAGCAGCTTCTCTGATTTATAGTTGAGGAAAAATAAGGCAGCAAAATGCTGTTATTTCCCCTTTGTTACTTTTGACTTGGAGACGTTAAAAAAAAAAAAAA